CTTGCATCTCTGGGATAAATCCTACATGGTCATGGTGTAAGACAGTGATGGCGAACCTTTTGTGCTCGGCGTGTCAGCATTTTGAAAAACCCTAACTTAACTCTGGTGCTGTGTCACATATAGAAATTTTTTGATATTTGCAACCATAGTAAAACAAAGACTTATATTTTTGATATTTATTTTATATACTTAAACGCCATTTAACAAAGAAAAATCAACCACAAAAAATGAGTTTGCGTGTCACATCTGACACGCGTGTCATAGATTTGCAATCACTGGTGTAGGATCTTTCTGATGGTAATGCTGGATCCGATTTGCTAGAATTTTGTTAAGAATTTTGGCATCTGTGTTCATGAGGCATATTGGCCTGTAATTCTCTTTCATTGTGTTGTCTTTATCTGGTTTTGGTATTAGGGTAATGCTGGCTTCATAGAGTGAGCTTGGAAGTGTTCCTTCTTTTTGAATTTTTTTTGAATAGTCTGAGAATAGGTTTTAGTTCTTCTTTGAATGTTTGGTAAAACTCCCCTGTGAAGCCACCTGGCTCAGGCTTTTGTTTGCTGGAAGCTTTTTGATGACTGCTTCAGTTTCCTCCATAGTTATTGGCCTATTGAGATTTTTAGATTCTTCCTGATTGAGTTTTGCAAGGTTGTACTTTTCTAGGAATATGTCCATTTCATCTAGGTTGTCTAGTTTGTTGGAATAGAGTTTTCATAGTATTTTTTAACAATCCTTTGTATTTCTGTAGGTCTCTTGTTATTTCACTTCTTCTATTTCTGATTTTGTTTATTTGGGTCCTCTCTCTTTGCTTCTTGGTAAGCCTGGCTAGAGGTTCATCAACCTTGTTTATCCTTTCAAAGAACCAGCTCTTGGTTTCATTGATTTTTATTTATTTATTTATTTATTTTTGGTGTCTATGTCATTTATTTCCACCCTAATCTTTATTATCTCCTTCTTTCTGCTCACTCTGGGCTTTTCTTGTTGCTCTCTTTCTAATTCTTTAAGTTATAGAGTTAGATGATTTATTACCATTTTTTCTTGTTCTCTGAGGTAGGTCTGTAGAGCTATAAACTTCCCTCTCAGGACTGCTTTCATTGTGTCCCATTGATTTTGGATTGTTGTGTTTTCATTGTCATTCATTTTCAGGATGTTTTAAATTTCTTCTTTGATCTCTTTGGTAACACAATCATTGTTTAATAGCATGCTATTAAGCTTCCAAGTGTTTGAATTTTTTTATTTTTTTTATTATAGTTTATTTCTAAGATTATGCCATTGTGATCTGAGAAGATGCTTGATATGATTTCAATCTTCTGGAATTTGGAGAGACTTTGCCTGTGACCCAATATGTGGTCTATCTTTGAAAATGTCCCATGTGCACTTTAGAAGAGCATATATTCCGTGGCTTTGGGGTGAATTGTTCTGAAGATGTCAATTAAGTCCATCTGATCTAGTGAGTCATTTAGGATTGCTGTTTCTTTGCTGATTTTTTGTTTAGAGGATTTATCCAGTGATGTCAGTGGTGTATTAAAGTCTCCTATTATGATTGTATTGTTGTTAATCTCTCCCCTGATATCTTCCAGGAGGGTTTTTTTTTTTTTTTTTAATGTATTTGGGTGCTCCTGCATTGGGTGCATACTAGTATATGTTTACCAGGATTATATCATCTTGTTGTATTGATCCCTTTAGTATCCTTATCTCTTGTTATGGCCTTCACTTTGAGGTCTATTTTGTCAGATATAAGTATTGCTACCCCAGCTTTCTTTTACTTTCCATTTGCCTGATAGATATTTTTCCATCCCTTCACCTTCAGTCTCTGTGAGTCCCTTGTTCTTAGTTGGATCTCTTGTAGACAGCATGCATATGGGTCATGTGTTGTTTTTTTTTAATCTATTCAGCCACTCGATGTCTTTTGATTGGAGCATTTAGTCCATTTACATTTAAAATTATTATTGAAAGGTACTTGTTTGTAGCCATTTTTATTTTTTGTGCCTGTGTTCCTTCTTCCCTTTTTATTTCTTCTTTTTATACCAGTCCCTTTAACATTTCTTGCATTGCTGGCTTGGTAGTGATAAACTCCCTTAGCCTTTTTTGTCTGTGAAGCTCCTTATTTCCTCTTCAATTTTGAATGAGAGCTTTGCTGGATAGAGTATTCTTGGATTTAGTCCCTTGCTTTGCATCACTTTGTAAATTTCTTTCCATTCCTTTCTGGCCTGATGTGTTTCTGTTGAGAAATCATTTGATAATCTAATGGGATATCCCTTGTAGGTAACTTTCTGTCTCTCTCTTGCAGCCTTTAAGATTCCCTCTTTGTCCTAAACGTTTGCCATCGTAATTATGATGTGTCTTGATGTGGGTCTTTTCGGGTTCATCTTGTTTGGGACTCTATGTGCTTGTGTGCCTTTTTTCTTTTCCTCATTAGGGAAGTTTTCTGATATTATTTCTTCAAATAGGTTTTCTAACCCTTGTTCCTCTTCCTGTCATTCTGGCACCCCTATTTTTCATTGCTTTAAAAAAGTTTCTTGGGCCTACTTGTCTCCTCCCTCCCCCGGACCCTGAAAACCACAGATGTGATTTCTCTACTTACAGTTTTGCCTTTTCAGAATATCATATAAATGGGAAGCATTTGAAATCTTGCTCCTGGCATATGTCATCAGTTTGGCTCACATAAACTTTTATAAATATTTATTCTCTACAGGTTTGGATGTTTCTTACCTTCACATTATACGCTAGAAAGGGCATGGTGGTGAAATTGACAAAAGGGTGCAAAAGTAAACATGGTTGGAAGAGACTTCTCTAAGGAAATGATATTTAAGCTGAGATGTAATGCATGAGAAGGGCCAAGGGAATTATATAATGGCAAAAAGAAAATCAGGTACAGAGAACCTGAGCAGAGGCTAAATAAGGGTATGGTAGGCAACACATTGAATGCAGGAACAGATATGAGAAGTGAGTTATATTCTATGTAACCCAACATTAAAGAGATTTGCAGAAATGTAATCAATACCACTCCTTTAAGTACATTTTTGTTATTGTTGAAAATATAGTTCTTTTTTTTTGTTTTGTTTTGTTTTTGTTGTGAGTGAATGTTTATTTAGTCCATCCAATTTGAGGGAAATGACAATATAATATTAAGACTTTTGATCCCTAATGGCCAACAGATATATGAAAAGACGCTCTCAACTTCAGTAGCTGCTGGGGTCCAACCCCAGCAGGTCTAGGGGTCCCCAAAGGTGTGGACGGAATCGGTGAAGAAGGAATGACATAGAGGCAGCGTTCAGTTGATCAGCAGCCTAGCCAGGATCTCTAGCCAAGTTCTAGTCAGGATCTCCAGCGAAGTTCTGGTTAGGATCTCCAGCCAGGTTCTGTGTCCATGTTCTCTTGCTAGGTTCTCCAGCCAGGTTCTCCAGGTTCTCCAGCCAGGTTCTGTAGCCATGTTCCCTCGCTAGGTTCTCCAGCCAGGTTCTGTCCAGGTTCTCCAGCCAGGTTCAGTCACCAGGTTCTAGTCAGGTTCTCTTGCCATGTTCTATCCAGGTTCTGTCTCTAGGTTCTTCAGCCAGGTTCTCTCGCTAGGTTCTGTCTCTCTCTTTTTTTAATAAAAATATGTAATGGGTTAAAAAAAAAGAATATCTCAATGGTCACAAACATGTAGCCTTTCACTTAGTATAATGCTTATCTTTATCTTCCTTTTTTTAAAGAAAACTTTATTTTGAAATATTTGTAAGTTTACAGATATGTTGCAAATATGTACACAGAGTTCCCACATACTATTCACCCAACTTCCCCTAAGGTTAATATCTGACATAATTACAGTACAGTGGTCTGAACAAGGACATTTACATCTATACCATACTATTAACTAATTTTCAGACTTCATTCAAATTTTGTCAGTTATCTCACTAAAGATCTTTTTCAAGTTTTGAATCCAATCTAGGATATCACATTGCATTTAGTTGTCCTGTTTCTTCAGTCTCCAACCTGGGACAAGTCCCCAGTCTTTATCTTTCATAACCTTGATAACATTTTTAAAGAGTATTAGCCAGTTTTGCTGTAGAATGACCCTCAATTGGGATTTTTCTGATGCTTTCTTATAATTAAATTGAGCAAATGCATTTTGGGGGGAAAATACAACACAAATGATGTTTTGCCCTCCTCATTGCATCCTACCAGGAGGGTACATGAAGTCAGTGTCTTATTACTGGGGGATTGACTTTGACTACTTGGTTAAGATAGTGTCTGCCAGGTTTTTCCACTGCAGGTTACTATTATCTAATTCTTTAAAAATTCATCCATGTTGTTTTATGTATTAGCAGTTGGTTCTTTATTGCTGAACAGTATTTCATTGCATGGATAGATCACAATTTGTTTACCCATTTATATGTTGATGGCCATTTGAATTGCTTACAGTTTTTGGCCTCGCACTATCTCATAGGCCTTGGTGTTCTCCTATTAAACATAAATAATTTCACAGAACACCTTTATCCTGTTTATTGTCATAAAAATATTTTTTATGCTTACTTTAGTTCTCAGAATTTACATTCTTATAGAACAGTATTTTAACCAAAAAATGAGAGGCCAATGATTTTCACACCTTTTTAAAAGCAGCTGAAGCTGTTTTTCAAATGAATTCTCACATCTAACCCCTTCTCAATCTTCTAAGGCAGATTCTCAGATTTGAGCATCAGAATCACCTGGACACAAATGTGGGCCCCCATCCCCAAAATGTCTGATTCATGGGCCTGGGGTGGAGCCCAAGACTTTGCATTTCTAATAAAATCTCAGGTGGTTCTGTTGCTGCTGGTCTGGGGAACCACACATGAGAACCACTGCTCCAGGGCATGTAGGTGCTCTTGAGAACCAATTGAAAACAGCTGAATACCATGAAGATCTAACACTAAAAATATTGTGAAGGCCTTTATATATAATATATGTACATATATAATGTATATTTGTAAAATACAATTATTTTCTGATTGTTTCTATTTGTTTTTGTGATTTTTCTGAAGTCCATCTCAAGAATTAATACTATAAAGAAAACCTGATGGGACTTCTTCAGATTGTCCCCAGCCGATTAATTTCCCAACTGTATTGTGGATTGAAGTCTCCAGTTGCCACAGGAACCAAGATTTGCCTAACAATGGCTCGTCCAAGTTCAAGTAGGTCTTTCTTAGCCTGCCATCTCCTCATCTCTAATGGAATTTGAAGTACCTGAAAGTTCCTACACTTTGAGGGGAATGATTATATTGAAGTGGGTGCTGGGCAAGATTTTGGAGGAGGCCATTCTGTCCTTTTCTCCTTAGGCAACCCCCTTCCAAGACAGGTCAGAGATGATCTCTTAATAGTTAAGGTAAGTCTGTTTAAGAATTTGTTGCTTCTCATAAAATATTTGCACTTAAGCCTTTCACACATTATTTGTATTTCAAACCCTTCATCTCTCTGCAGGGGAGAAAAGCTGTTGATTGTCCTACAGGGTAATATTGGATTAAATTTTTTACTGGTTAGAAATGATTTGTATCTCTAACCAAACACAAGCAACCAAAGCCAAACTTGTAAGATAGGTGCTGGTGAGAAGGAAAGAGGTTTATTCAAGTGCTGGCAACCTGAGAAGATGAAGGACTCTCATCCCAAAGATCATCTTAACATCTCAGTGCAGGCGGAGGTTTTTATTAGGAAGGAGAGGGAAAGCAGAACAAAGAAATCAGGGGTAGGTGGGGTTGAAAGTTCCCTATATGTAAGTAAGCACAGTCCATTCCCAATGATTATCTTAAAGCTGGTCAAGTGGAGGACATTTTTATGGTCGAGAGTAAGCAAGTCTCCTGGAGCCAGCATGTCCTTCCCTGAAGCTAGTTCCTGTTATATGCTCAGAAAGCTGCTAGCAATTTATGGCAGGCATGACAAGCCTGGCCTTTGTTTTAAGGCATCTATCCTCTTCCCTGATTTGGGGAAATTATATGTTATTTAATCAAGAAGGTTATTTTGTTGATTAGCATAAGATTTCATGTATCCTCTGTAAATCTCTACCTGACAAAAACCTACAAGTTAACATATCTGGGCCCTTCCTCTGTAGTGGGTATAGAGTTTAACAGATTTATGTAATAAATGATCCCTGTTAAACAGTTCTTCAATGTGGCTTTGAAAGGCCAAGTTGAACTCTTTTTGCCTCATTTTCAACTTTTGGATAACTTTTTCTAATATTACAAGTCTGCTGAATTGTAATAATACCTCCTTCCATTTTGCCCAATCTTAGGAACAATAAAGAGCCCAAATAACCCAGTTCCACTCATCTGTCCAACCCTTGGTGTTCACAGCTATGCAGGACAGGCTGCTAGAGGCTGTGGTGGGACCCAGAAGCCTGTGCTTGACAAAAAGTGGGTCACCTGGGTCTGAAACTGTAAAACATGCTGGTGTGTTTTCCTTGAGCAGTTAGGAAATGCCGTCTATAACACAGCTTTAACATTATTATAGCTTACATCCTGTTTTCCAAAAACCAAACCTGAGTTGACTTCTTTATCTGTTTCTAGAAATTGCTTAAAGTGGTACCTTAGCAGAGCTCACTCTGACCTGGGAATCTATTCATCAAAAGGATGACAGACTTTACATTTGAGGTAGAAAAGGCATTCAGAGCAGGGGAAAGTTTTATGGGTGAACTTTGAAGTCCTTAAATATGTTTGTATGGTTCAACTCAGGAGTCATATAAATAGCTACAAGATGTAGTTAGCATCTTGTTCTCTCAGTGGATAGATCGGACTACAAACTCTGGTCCACTCAGATTAGATATTTTTTTCAGAAATATTCTTGGTTGGACAGCTTTAGCAGGCCTTATTTTTCACATCAGTCCATTTCTGAAAGGTATGTGAGGGTAGGCAGAGTGTTAACATGGCTGGCAGGTAGTTGGGCTGGTTATACCTAAAGGCAACAGTGTGCCTGAGCCATCTTCATTCCTTTGAGCCTTGCTGCCAGAAAAGTGATCCCAGAGAGCTCCAGGAATGTGGCCATCAGGGAACTGGAGCCTCTGCTTTTCTGTTTCTGAAACCAGTTCCATCTCTTAGTGTATGCTCAGTCAGCCCAAAGGTTAACCTTGGTTGCCATTGGAAGACCAGAAAGTCCACTCCATCAGCTGTGGGACTCACTTCCATTTTTGCTGAACTTTTCTGTTAGCACAGGTTGGCCACTCCTAGATGTCTGCTTTGTGGCCCAGGCCAGCCCCAGGCAGTGCTGGTCTGGCACTTGCTTTTCCAGGTAGAGGGCAGAGAGGGAGTCTCACTTCTCCCTGAAGTTTATGCTCAGCTCTGTACGGCTTACATCTGGCTTGCTGGAGCTAAGCACTTACCCCTCGCATGAGGGCCTGCAGAGCCGCAGGTTCTGTGAGAGAAGGGTGTTGCTCTCAGCCATATGCTGGGTCCTGACCTAATACTCTGCCACCCAAGAGACACAGTGGCACTGTCAAATCTGACTCCTTGTTCTTATCCTGGGATGAGGACATTCTCTTCAGGGGCAAACTCATCTTGTGACCCATGTAAAGTGCTTGGCACAGCCAGGGGTGCAATGAGCCCTCACTCTGTAATGGCTACTGCCTGTGTTGGTCTGAGATCAGGGTAGAATGCCTGAAGGTGCAGAGCAAGGCCTTTGATCTAGAGGGCAAGCCATGGTCTGTGACTATGATTACGTGCTGCCGTGTTATTCTCTATGTTCAATTCCCTTTTGTTACCCCAAGTCTCTGATGACATCTTGTTAAAAAGTCTAGCTCTTATTTGAGCCATAAAGGAAAAAGTCACGTGTCTAGGTTTAGAGCACAGCATTTGTTCACAGGGGAGGGGCCCTCATCCTGACCTTTGGTAGTGATGCTGAAAGAAGGTAGGATTCTTTCGCGTGCGCGCGCGCGCGCACACACACACACACACACACACACACACACAACTTGTCTTTACTTTCTTTACTTTCATGAAGGAAGTTGCATTCCCATCCATTAATCTTCATAGCAGCCCTGTTCTGGGGAGGACAGTATTGTGCACACTAAATTGCCAAGGGAGCCCAGGATAGCAGAAGGTCAGTGATTCACAGAAGATCTCACACATGAGTGGAGGTGGAGCTGATTCAGAGCCAGTGCTGTGTGCCTGAAGGCCCTGCTTCTTTCTTAAGATGTTGTACATTCACACATCAAGGGCGTGGATAGCGTTTTCATGATACAGGAATGATTTTTATTTGAGTATCTTAAAGTATAATTTCACACAAGGTCAAGTTTCAAAATATAGATATCTCCTGCTTTTCCAAAGTTTGCTCTACACCAGCGGTCGCCAACCGGTGGTCCATGAGGTCCAAAAGGTTGGCAACCACTGCTCTACACCACTTCACTATTACAAAAAACTAAATTAGTATCTGTTTTCGCTAACCAAAAGAAAACTGAAGAGGATTTTGCATTGAAAAAAGGTTTAAGACAAAAATAGCATTCAGCATTAGTCTTGCAGCGAGTTACAGAGACAGGGCACACCCCAGCAGCAAGAGGGCCCCCCAAGCTCCTTCTCTGGAAGCTAGATTCAGCATCAAGCACTGCAGCTTTGAACTGTGTCTGTGAGCATCTGTGCTTTATCTCCACTTATTTTGTGCATCCATTAGCAAAACGTGCCCTAAGGTAGTTGCTTCTCTGCTTTATGCAAGTTTTCATAAGAAACACTCTAGTTTCAGAGAGCAGGGGAAACCTATGCAGATGATTGGTATGAGATATAAATATCCAAATGGTGCACTGGATTGATAAAGATTTTATTCTCTCTTTAGGTATGGCCGATTTTCGGAAACTTTTTGCAAAAGCAAACCACATAGTCATCATTTCAGGGGCTGGTATTAGTGCTGAAAGTGGGATTCCAACTTTCAGAGGAGCCGGAGGTTATTGGAGGAAATGGCAAGCTCAGGTTAGTAGTGTTTCCAGAATATTAAGAGGATGTTCTGAAAGAAACCATAACAGAGTTTGACTCAGAACCTAATGATGGCTGAAACCCAGAGAGCAAAGTTTTGAAATTGGCAGTGACTCTTGTCCTGTTCATTTTGGCATCGACACATGTCCATGTGATTAAGATCTGAGATTTAAGCAAAGCAGCCACGTCCCTTATTTTTTAGGTAAGTATAATTTGCATTTTTTCAGATAAAAAAAGTAGAATCAGAAAACCTTGATTAGCATAATTCATTACTATAGATATTGAAATTAAGGATTACACATTTTTAAAGTTTCTGTGAACTTTTCATATTAACATTGAAGTTGAATTCTTGAAGACCTAGAGCTTAATATTCAAAACTTTATATGAAGGCCATTAGAAATTAAGTTCTTTGGGGGTGTGGATTTTTCAAAAAAAAAATTTATTGAGGTATATTAGCCATACAATAAAATTCACCCATTTTAAGTACACAATTCAGTAACTTCTAACAAGTGTATACAGAGTGTAGCTACTACCAAGATCACATGTGGAACATTTCTGTACCCCGGATTATTCCGTCAGGCCCTCTGCAGTCAGTCTCCTGCACTCCCCCCGGCAATCCCTAATTTTGAGGGCAGGGAATTTTGTCGGTTTCATTCATTGTTCCTTCCCCAGCTCTGAGAACTCTGGAACAATGTAAGTGCTTAATAGATGTTTCTTGGTTGAATGAAAGCAATCATAAATAATTACTTCAATACTTGACTTCCAAATTTAGCAGGTGATTTCTTATTGAGTGAAGGGTTAATGAACCTGCCCTTCTTTCCTGAATGAAAGGTCTCAGGATGGCAAATGTTTAGGACAACCATGTCAAACTGCCGCCCGTGGGCCACATGTGACCCACAACGAATATTTTTGGGGCCCAGCCAATGTAATGGTATGTAAGAAACGTTTTAATAAAAATTTCATTACTTAATTTTTACAATATTCCATTATACATAATTATTAATAACTACAACATTTGCTAATGACTGATTATTATAATCATGTTGCGTTCATTTCCCTTACGCACCTTACATGACTTATGCTCCTTATGCACAAGTGCACCATTTCTCTCCACTAATACTAGCAGCAAATATTTTAGCTACCGATTGCCATGTCATTGGTCTTATACTGACTTGTTTGGTGTGAAAAACAGGAAATATTTCACTTTCAGAGAACAAGTGTTATGCTTATTAATTTGTGCACTTATTCAGTGTCTGGTAAGTTAATGTTCAAGAAAAATATTAATGTTTATTAAAATGTTCTATTATTTTATGTTAACAATCACTCATTTATTTCAGCCCTTTGTATTCAGCATGTCTCTATAGAAATAAACCTATGTTTCTATGAAAATTGAAGCTTTTGTTTTTTTGAGGCCCACATAAACTTGCTCCTTGTTTACTTGGCCCATGTTAGCCTTTGAGTTTGACATGCTTGGTTTAGGACAGTGGTCGGCAAACTCATTAGTCAACAGAGCCAATGTCAACAGTACAACGATTGAAATTTCTTTTGAGAGCAAAATTTTTTAAACTTAAACTATATAGGTAGGTACATTGTTATTAACTTAATTAGGGTACTCCTAAGGCTTAGGAAGAGCCACACTCAAGGGACCAAAAAGCCGCATGTGGCTCTCGAGCCGCAGTTTGCCGACCACAGGTTTAGGATGTTCTGTCACCCCTCTGCTGCCCTCCAGGTAAAGCCTGGGGATGTAGACATGGCATCATCACCTTAAAGGTGAAGGAGAGGAGAAGGAAGAGTGAGGGCCATTAGGGTCCCACAAGAAAGAGGAGCCACAGAGAACCTCCACTGATTTAGAGATCCAGGGGATGGGGCTCAGATGGTGTCAGGAGGAACTTACAGAGGGTGGTCAGTCAGGTCAGAGCAGCTGATTTTGTGGGGAAGCAATAGATTACGTTTGACTCCAGCTGTGTTCCCAGGACACATACAGGGTGGGGCACAAAAGTAGGCTTACAGTTGTGAGTTCACGAAGCACAGTTTATTCTTGTTTTATTAATTAATTACTGTAAATCCACTTTTTCCCACCCCTGTATATCCAGGTTCATGTGCTTCAGGCCACTTGTGCTCTAAGTAGAGGGCAAGAAGGAAGGAAGTACAGGGTTGAAATGGATAATCCACAGCGTAGATGATCCACTCCCCAAATGAAGGCTGACATGGCTACCAGGCAGTTAGGGACCTTTACAGTAAAATAAAATGCATGATGCCACCACTGCCACCACGGAGATACAGAATACTTTGGTCATTGCCAAGGTTCCCTTGTATATTTCCTGTCAGCTTCCAGCCCTAGACAACTACTTCTCTGCTGTCTGTTCACTGTAGATGAGATTTGTCTGTCCTAGAAGAGGCATTGCACCTTAAAATACATATTCTTCTATGTTTTGTTAATGTAATGTGTATGGTGAGTGTGTAACTATAAGTGATAAAAACTGAGTTTCTCAACTATGGCCATTATACTTCAATTGGACATTTTACATTTCACTTTTTTTCCTGGACAAATGATACTGACTCCATACATTTTGGAGCTCCAACCTAAATTATCTTCTTGCATATTACTTTACCTCATGTTCATAACTTCCTTGAGGGTCAAATGGGACAGGTTGTATTTTCTCTGAGTTATAATTGGGGAAATTAAAACCAATTTCTCCAAGGTTTCTTGTTAGTCCCAGGATTGGGACACAGGCTGGTGCCCAGGCCCCTGCCCTGTGTCTGCCACGCTGCACGAACCTAAGCAGACGTGTGCCAGCTTGCACCCTCCCAGAGCTGCCTGCCCATTGTAGGGAAAGAGGGGCCGGCCAGTGTTTGCCGCCACTGCCCAGGCACTCCAAGGTTCGTTCGCGCCGCTGCCTGTACTCTGGACGGAGCATGAGCGCTCGTTCCCTCCCTGACTCCTGCCTCCTCTCACCCCCAGACCCTGGCCACTCCCGAGGCCTTTGCCCAAAACCCGTCCCTGGTGTGGGAGTTCTACCACTACCGGCGGGAAGTCATTCAGCGCGTGAAGCCAAACCCCGGGCACCTCGCCATCGCTGAGTGTGAGGCCCGGCTGCGTGAGCAGGGCCGCCGGGTCATGGTCATCACCCAAAACATCGATGAGCTGCACCGCAAGGCTGGCACCAAGAACCTTCTGGAAATCCACGGTGAGAACCCCCAGCCTCACACGGGGAGGGGAACTAGACTTGGAAGCATATGTCCTGCCATTTTCCACCTGGACTCACGGAAACAGAATCTGCATTTTGACAACACACCCAGGTGTCTGGTGTGCGCCTGTTACACCGGAAAGCGCTAGTCTGCACAGCTGCGCGCCCCGCCCTGAGCAGCTCTTGAGGGGGCTGTGCTAGAGACAACTGCCCAGCTGCGCTGAAGAGAACCAGGAGGGGCGGGCCATTGAACAGGTGGCTTTAGCAGGATCTGGCATGGGGGGCCTTGGCATTCCTGGGGTATCTATTTACTTTCCCTTTGTCCCCCTTGGTACTGTCTCCTAGGCTGTGCTTCTGCTAAGCCCTCCGGCCTTTAGGGAGCTACCTGCTCAGCGACCTTCACTGAGTCGAGCCCACCAAGTTGTGACACACATAGGTTTTGCCTTAGGCCCCTCTGGCTTTCCCTCTCTTCCCTGACGACAGCCTCCTTTCCCCCTCTTGTCTTCTTGCTCCTTTCCCTCTTTGCTCTCACCAAAAGTCTAATAAACCCATTCATACAAGAGCATCAATGGGCACGCAAGGATTTTTTCCCAAGGACATTTGCATTTAAGAGTCTACAAAGCTTTAATTCCAAGGGATGCATTTCTAATAGTGGCTTTTCCAGGAGCAGTGAGCCAATGGGGATGGTGCTTGTGTGCGCACGCCGTGAGGTTGCCCATTTTTGCCTAGGCTTATGGTCACCCTGATAATGAGAGTTGAGCACTGTGTGCTTGGATCCCATCCCATTCCTTTTTTGTGTCCTAACAGTGTCAGCCACCTACTAACCGAAGTCTTTTTGGCACCTTCTTCTGTTGGATCTAGGATACTTTCCACATGGCTCTTCTCGTTTCTCTGCAGTGCCAGATTGTAGGCTGTCACTTGCCATGTAGAATGTATAAAATCGGAATCCAGTTATTTTAAGCATTAAATAAGATAATATATACATATTAGTTGGGACTTTTTTTGTTTGCAAGTGATGAGAACTCTCTTCAAATTCAGGTAAAAACAAAAGGAAGCCCTTTCTTTCATCAAATTGAAGATGCAACAGTTTTTTAATGTGATACTTAGAAAGAAAATCATCTGCCCAAATCATGGTATCTTATTTTATTACTCCTTAGAATTCACTGCTTTATACAAATAGAAAGGGCTTGTTAAAACTTATTTAGATACATATTTTTAGAAACGATCACTCTCATGCATATAAAAAACAAAACATGGGTAAAATAGAGTGGTTACGATATTTCTTCTGAATGACCTCTGAAGGCCTCCGCGGCGTCAGTGACTGCTTTCCGCAGTGTGTGGAACCGGTGACGCCGCATTTCCTAAGGGGGATCCTCTCATCTCTGCGTTTCCCTCCCAAGCTGCTGACACACATTCTGCGGGTTTGATGTTGGGCCTTTCTTGATCTTACCAAAAGGTGTGAGTGGAAGGTTCTAGATGGCAACCAGGACTCATTTTTCTTCCCCAAATGGACCTTAACTGGTTTGTTGGCTGAAATATGCAGAGGCTGCCTTTGTCCAGTCAGGACACATGTCAGTCATTGGTGTAATCCTTCAACAAGTCTGTGCAAGTGCTGACTGTGGCAACCACATCACACCCGTCATGTGGCCAGTGGCAGTTACAGGACGCGTCTGAACTTCAGAGATGCTAACGGGAAAGTAGCCATGCTAAAACTGACAAAATACGTACATTGGTTGGCAACACTGAGGAGCCTGGGAGAAGCTGACATCAGCAGCAGGCTCACTGTCTCTCTCTCCCTGTCTCTCTGCCTCTCCTTCCCTCAGCTTTGCTCACTCGGAGTTACTTTACCTCTCGCTCTGTAGTTGATCACCTTCATGTGCCAGCAAAGTGACGTCTGGCAGCTCCAGGCTCACTCTAGCTTAGCTCTCTCCTCAGAAAACCAACCTCGGGGAGCCTTGCTTGGGTCACTTACCTGCTTTTAACCAAACACTATCACTAGAGGGACGGGGTACTGGGATTGGACCAGTCTGAAACGTGTATCCAAGCTTGTATTTTAGGATGTGATTGACACCTTCATCAGCTTGGCATGGGATAGAGGAGAGATGGGTCCTCAACAAAGTGACACTGGACAATGGAACAATGTGTATCCACCACAGTGTGTGTGACATGCTCAGCACAGCACTGGGCACTGACAATATGTAGTGAATTGTGGTCACCATTATTGGGTGAGCTTAACAAATGGTTGCTAGTTTTACAGTTATTTTCTTCATTTATTAGTTGATTGATTATTGGTTGATCTGGTTTTACATAAAATATTCAAGCTTTATTAATTTAAAATTAAGATTTGTAAACACATCCCAAGCTATTAAACCTTTATCAATCATGTACTTAGTAAATCATGCCCTTAGTTGGTTGGCTTCATCTACCCTATTGATCAGTTCAGGCCTACCTGAGCATCACTCTTGAGTAATGTGAGAGCTCCTTAGTCATGAATGATTATTTCATCTGTCTCTCTTCCCTCTAGAGTACAAAGTCCAGGAGGATAGATGCTCCTGGCTTGTTCAATAATACTGCATGCCTTTACATTTCCCATGATGCCTAGGGTAGGCCCATTTGCTAAAATGAACATATAAAAACTAAGTGATTTTGTACCCTTTTGGACATGGAGACAGTTGCTCTTGATATTATTTCTGGTCTTGCTTGACTTATGTTTTTCAGGTAGCATATTCAAAACTCAATGCACCTCTTGTGGGGCTGTGGCTGAGAATTACAAGAGTCCAATTTGTGAAGCTTTTGCAGGAAAAGGGTAATTATGCTGTACTATAGAATAAGCGTGTGTTGTTTTCTCTTTTAAATTGAACATAAATGCGAGGAAAATGAAATATTAATCTAAGATTTGCATGGATATTTATAAAAAATAGGATCCAATACATTATACCATATTATGAAAGAAATATTTTGCTCTCAATTTATAATATTAAGTGAAAACCACAGGATCTAACTCTATATAGTTTGATCCCAACTTTGTATTTTTTTTTAATCCTCACCCAAAAAATGAGGATATTTTTCCATTGATTTTAGAGAGTGGAAGGGAGGAGGGAAGATGAAAGAGAGAGAGAGTAAGGGAAAAGAGAGAGAGGGAGATATCAACATGACAGAGATATATCGATTGGTTGTCTCCCACATGTGCCCCAGCAGGGTGGGGATCAGACCTGCAATGCAGGTACAAGCCTTTGAGTGCCGTTAATAAGGAATGGAACCTGTGGCCCTCGGTGCTCAGGTCCACACTCTAACCACTGAGCCATGCCAGTCAGGGCCCAACTTTGTATTTAAACTCTCTCTCTCTCTCTCTCTCTACCTCTCTCTCTCTCTGTCTCTCTCTCTCTCTCTCTCTCCCTCTCTCCTCCCATGTTGATGTATTTGTGTATAGATGACAGACCTAAAAAAAAGCGCAGCAAAATTTTAACAGCAATTATCAGGAGTGGTGGGATGATAGGTAGTTGTGATTTCTGCTTTATATCTTTTTGAATTTTTCAACATTTCTATGATGAATGTGTACTATTATTGTAGTTAGGGAAAGAAATTAAGAGTAGACTCAGAATATTGAGAAAAATTCTACCTTATTTTAAATCAGTATAAAGTATACAAGAAATATATTAACATAATGTCATTGAAGAAGATTCAAATGATTACATATAAAATGTAAGTCTCGAAATTCCCCCGTTAGCGCATATGGCTGCTCCACCTCCTCCCCACATACAAATTCCCTCTTGAGGTAAAACCACTAGTAATTAGTTGGTGTCCATTCTTTGAGTAGCTCATGTATTAATTAGGAGTTTTGTACCATACCCTGCTATGCAAATATACATACTTATTGGGTTATGTTATTCCTTTGTTCTTTGATGATACCAATGACATTTTCTCTTTTCTAATATTGTTTATTCAGTGCTCCAGAACCCGAAACGCAAGATGCCAAAATCCCAGTGGAGAAACTTCCCCGGTGGGTAAAATCTTTAATCTATACTTGTTGTTCCAGGTTGCAAGAAAAGAAAATTAGGAATCAAAATCCAAGTTCATTTGGTGAGATGCCTCTTAAATCCTCAAATGTAAATACCAGCCCTGACCTATGAGGCCAAGGGCAGAAATAGAGAGGATGAACCAAACCTGTGGAAAGAAAACTGCTTTTCAATCCTTCTTGCTTTTCATTAGTTACTGTCATCTTCATCCTCTTCCTCCTCATCATTGTTATTAATCCAGGTTTATGGAGACAGTAAAAGGTCTTGCAAAGATGAAATTATAGGACCAAAATGTTGTAGATTTTTTTAAAAACCTAGAAAGATTTTTGTCAAGTTTTCAAAGCCAGATATTAAAATAGCATTCCAAAAGTGTTTCAGTGAGCACTATATCCATGTGATGTTCATAGGCATTGCTTGAAAGAAAGATGTTATGTGCTCAGATCACACTAGATTAAACCAAGTCAGAGTATGTTTGCTTTACTGTAGGACTTCTCAGAGCATTTCATATGCTAAAGTATATTGTTACTCTCTAAAAAGTGGTTACAATATGCTAATATCTCACTGATTTATTTGACCACAGAACCCTTTTTATTTTTCTTAATAAGGCTTTTCATTACTAAATGCTAAAGTTTCTATCTGAAAGAACAGGGAATCCTGAGGGGTTCCTGGGTAGGACATTAATATGATGAAAACTATGTTTGGGGGAGGTTATTTTAGAAGGTAGAATAAAATGACTAAGAGAGAGTGGGGAGGAAATGGTTACAGATTTCTAGTAATTGATACTGGAGAACTTGACTATAGACAGGATCAGAGAGAGGCGAATCTCGGAGAAAATAAAAGGAGGTCATTGATGAAGTTACGGGATGATTGGGTGTTTGAGACAAATCTTAGTCCAGTGTGTCCTCCCAGGCCTGGGTCACTGAGCAGAGTCATGCCCATGAGGGTGATGAAGTCACTGTGAAAGAGAAAACTGTTTAAAGATTAGGTCAAGCTTAGCTGAAACACATTTGTCTCTAAATCAACCCAATGCATTCAGACAAAATAGAAACTTTATAAGGCAGTTAAAGTTAGTGCTTCATATTCAGGACAAGCTCCTATGGGCTGGGAGGGCAGGGATGGTGATCAGGGGATGAGGTGACCTATCTGGACAGACTGGATTTGGGGCAGCCCCTGATCTTCCTCTGACCCACCTGGCAGACCTTCAGGCAAGGATGAGTTAAGGATGATGTTTTTACAGGTGTGAAGAGGCAGGGTGCGGGGGCCTGCTGCGACCTTATGTAGTGTGGTTTGGAGAAAACCTGGACTCTGCCATTCTGGAGGAGGTTGACAAAGAGCTGGCCCTCTGTGACTTATGTCTAGTGGTAGGTTTCGTTTTTACCTGATTGTGGGGATTTTCTGAAACACCAGGACTGGGGTGGAGATTAATGTTGTTCCCTCCCTCCCTCCCTCCCTCCCTCCCTCCCTCCCTCCCTCCCTCCTTCCCTTCCTTCCTTCTTCCCTCCCTCCCTTCCTTTCTCTCTCCCTCCATCCCTTCCTCCCTTCCTACTTTCCTTCCTTCTTTCCTTCTCTTAAGATGTGTTTTGAGAGTTGTGGTGTTCTACATAAAAACTAAAAAATAGTGAATAAGAATTTATCTTAAAATACAAAACAATGCAAGACCATGTCTTTGGCTTCTCAAATCCTTTTCTCCCCACAAAAAATATCATAAAAAGAGCATGTTATTGGTTCTAATTTTTAAAATAATACATGCTCATTATTAAATTTAATTTAGAAAACACAAAAAGAAGAAATTAAAAATCCGATAATTCTACCATACAAAAATAATCAGTTAGCATTTTAGTATGTTTTCTTCTAGACCTGGGATGAGTAAACTGTGGCCTATGGGCCAAATCTGACCTGCCACCTGTTTTTGTAAATAAAGTTTTATTGGAACATAGCCATGCCCTTTCTTCTTTGTATAGTCTATAGTTACTTTCACACTACATTGGCAGAGCTGAATGTTTGCAACAGAGACCATGTGGCCTATGAAACCTTAAAAAAACAGCACTATTTGGTCTTTTACAGAAAAAAGTTTGCACACCCCTGGTCTAGACCTTTCCACATGCAGATGTACACATATTGATTAAAATTTTTAAAAATGTGTTCATACTCCCAAAACACTAATTAGAAAGAACATATGCACCCTATGTTAATTGCAGCCTTATTTAAAATAGTGAAGATATGGAAGCAACCCCAATGAATAAATGAAATAAATGAGTGGATAAGAAAGATGTGGTACATATATACAATGGATTACTACTCTGCCATGAAAAGAATGAAATCTTACCATTTGTGACAGCATTGATGGACCTAGAGGGTATTGTGCTAAGTGAAATAAGTTAGACAGAGAAAAACAAATACCATATGATTTCACTTACATGTGGAATCTAAAGAACAAAATAAATGAACAAAAAAAAAATTGAAACAGACTTAGAGATACAGAGAACAGACTGATGGTTGCCAGAGGGGAGTTGATTAGGGGACTGGGTGAAAAAGGTAAAGGAATGGATAATTACTAATTGGAAGTTACGAAACAGTCCTGGGGATGTAAATTATAGCTTAGGGAATCTAGTCAATAATCTACACTAATAAAAGACAAACACGCAAATTGACCATACCTTTGCTACACCTTAAGCCACGCCCACCAGCCAATCAGAGTGACTATATGCAAATTAACCCAACCAAGATGGCGGCTGGCAGCCACAGAGCTGGAGCAAGCAGGAGGCTTGGTTGCCCCAATGATGGAGGAAGCCAAGCTTCCCGTGGCAGCTCTGAGCTCCACTCAGAGCAACAAAGTTTCAATTATAGAAGGTAAATAAATCCCAGAATAAATAAAAAAAAGAAAAAAAAGAGAGGCTGGGAGCTTCCGTCGCCAGGGGGGCTTGGCCAGCCTGAAAACGGCCCTCAGCCCCTCACACAGACTGGCCAGGTACCCCAGTGGGGATCCCCACCCTAAAGGGGGTGTACCCAGCCTGCAAACAGCCATCAGCCCCTCACCCAGGCTGGCCAGGCACCCCAGCGGGACCCCCACCTGATCTGGGACACCCTTCAGGGCAAACCAGCCGGCCCCCACCCATTCACCAGGCCTCTATCCTATATAATAAAAGGGTAATATGCAAATTGACCCTAACAGCAGAGCGACTGGAAATCACTGGTCACTATGACACACACTGACCACCAGGGGGCAGGCGCTCAATGCAGAAGCTGCCCCCTGGTGGTCAGTGCTCTCCCACAGGGGGAGCTCTGCTCAGCCACAAGCCAGGACGGCTGCCAGTACAGCAGTGGTGGTGGGAGCCTCTCCTGCCTCCTCAGCAGTGCTAAGGATGTCCGACTGCAGCTTAGGCCTGCTCCCCGCTGGCAAGTGTATATCCCATCTTTGTTTGCAATTTGCATCCCTCCCTGGCTGCCAGAGGGATGTCTGACTGCCAGCTTAGGCCCAATTCCCTGGTGAGCGGGCCTAAGCCAGTAGGTGGTCATCCCCTGAGGGGTCCCAGACTGCAAGAGGGCACAGGCCGGGCTGAGGGACCCCCCCCCCCCAGCCCCGAGTGTACAAATATTTGTGCACTGGGCCTCTATAATAATAAAAGCATAATATGCTAATTAGACCTTCCAGACAAAGCTGCGGCAGCGGGGCCAAGGCAGAAGCAGCCGCCACGGCAGCGGGGGCCAAGCCCCTTGTACGAATTTTGTGCATCGGGCCTCCAGTATTGTAATAACTATGTATGATGTTAGGTGGGTACTGGAAATACTGGGGGAAGCACTTTGTAAAGAATATGATAGTTAACTGCTATGCTGTACACCTAAAACCAATATAAAATAATACTGGTGTAAATGGTAATTTAAAATTTTTTTAAATGGGTCCATATATGTTCTTTTTTGAAACTATTTTATTCATGTAGCAATTCACTTAGCATATTCCATGTCAGTACATCATCTTTTAATTGGCTATGCAGTGTTCTGGTGTATGCATTTGACCAATTCTCTATTGTTGGACATTCAGGCTGTTTCAAATTTTGATACTTTAAACAACGTTATAGTGAATAGCCTTAGACATAACTCTTTTTAAAAAAATGTATTGATTAATTTTTAGAGAGAGAGAGAGAAACATCGATGTGATATTCCACTTTTATTTATGCATTAATTGGTTGCTTCTTTTATGTGTCCTGATGGTGGATCGAACCTGCAATCTTGGCATACCAGGATGATGCTGTAACCAACTAAGCTACCTGGCCAGGGCCTCAGACATAACTTTTTTTTTTTTAATAAATATTTTATTGATTTTTTACAGAGAGGAAGGGAGAGGGATAGAGAGTTAGAAACATCGATGAGAGAGAAATATCAATCAGCTGCCTCCTGCACACCCCCTACTGGGGATGTGCCCGCAACCAAGGTACATGCCCTTGACCAGAATCGAACCTGGGGCCCTTCAGTCTGCAGGCCGACACTCTATCCACTGAGCCAAACCGTTTAGGGCTCAGACATAACTTTTAACATGCTCATCAAATTATTGTCTTAGGACAAATTTTCTAGAAGTGGAATTAACTGAACAAAGGGTAGGCATATTTCAAATTTTCCTTAACATGTCTTTAAAAGCAGAGTCACTTTCTTATGGATGCGTACTCATTCAGCCAGTGTTTATTGAGTTCATCCCGAAGTTGAGTATAGGGTCAGTGGCTAGGTGAAAAAAGCTGGTTTGTAAAATATGTTCTGATCTTCCCATTCCTTCTCCCCAATCACCCCTCTCTACCCTCTCACAAAACCTCAGTATTTGAGTCCTGGCTAAGAAAGAATTCAGAGTGAAGACTCAAATATAAGCAAAAGTTTATTTAGAAAGTCACAGAGGTAGAAGAAGTGAGTCAGGGAAGAAATAAGCCGGCTAGTCTTCCCATTCTTGTAAAGAATGTTTATAAAACTACTAGAGGCCCAGTGCACAAAAATTTGTGCTCTCAGGGGGGTCCCTCAGCCCAGCCTGTGCCCTCTCGAAGTTTCGGAACCCTCGGGGGATGACCACCTACTGGCTTAGGCTGGCTCACCGGGGAATTGGGCCTAAGCTGGCAGTCAGACATCCCTTGGCAGCCCGGGAGTCCTCAGGGGATGTCCACTTGCCAGCAGGAAGCAGGGCTAACCTGCAGTTGGACATCCTTAGTGCTGCTGAGGAGGCGGGAGAGGCTCCCACCACCACTGCTGTACTGGCAGCCTTCAGCCTGGCTTGTGGCTGAGCAGAGCTCCCGCTATGGGAGCGCACTGACCACCAGGGGACAGCTTCTGCATTGAGCGCCTGCCCCCTGGTGGTCAGTGTGTGTCATAGTGACCAGTGATTCCCAGTCGCTCTGCTGTTAGGGTCAATTTGCATATTACCCTTTTATTATATAGGATAGAGGCCTGGTGAATGGGTGGGGGCCGGCTGGTTTGCCCTGAAGGGTGTCCCAGATCAGGTGGGGGTCCCGCTGGGGTCTCTGGCCAGTGTGGGTAACGGTCTGAGGGCCATTTTCAGACTGGCCACACCCCTTCAGGCTGGGGGTCCCCGCTTGTTGGGGTCCAGCCCCAGCAGGTCCAGGGGTTCCCAAAGGTGTGGACGGAGTCGGCGAAGAAGGAATGACACGGAGACAGCGTTCAGTTGATCAGCAGCCTAGCCAGGTTCTCTAGCCAGGTTCTAGCCAGGATCTCCAGGCAGGTTCTGTGTCTTATTGTCTTGTTACATCTGTATTTATACCAGTTAATTTTAATCTTATGAATTTCTATTCCAAAGGTTAGGGCGTTTTTTATCTCTATTCCAGGGAGTAAAGATTATGTAGCTTAAGAGTGATTGTTCATAGTTAAAGTGATTAATTACCTGCCTGGCACTTAGTTAAGGGATTTTATTCCCTCCCTAACTTCAGGGAAAAATCCCTACCTAGGGAAACAACCTTTCTCAGAGAGGTGACCTTGGTTAAAACACATAGCACCAAGAAGGGGAGCAAACATATTAAAATAGTATGCCATATACGCCAGGTCCCTTGAAACATATGCTATGCAGATGTTTCTTCCTTGCAGCAACTGTGTCAAGCAGCAAGGATGGACTGGCTTCCGGCACCGGCTGGAGTGCCTGGCCAGCCTGGGTGAGGGGCTGATGGCTCTTTGCAGGCTCGCCACAACCCCTTCAGGGTGGGGGTCCCTGCTGGGGGGCTTGGCCAGCCTGCAAACAGCCATCAGCCCCTCACCCAGGCTGGCCAGGCACTCTAGCGGGGACCCTCACCCCATGAAGGTGTAGCCAGCCTGGGTGAAGGGCTGATGGCTGTTTGCAGGCTGGCCACAGCCCCTTTAGGGTGGGGGTCCCTGCTGGGGTGCCAGGCCAGCCTGGGTGATGGGCTGAGGGCCATTTTTAGGCTGTCCACACCCCCTTCAGGTTGGGGGGTCCTGCTGGGTGTTATGGGTTCACTCAGCGAGATAGACCACCGACTCAGAATTCAAATTTAAGAGCCTTTATTAAGCTGGCCAGCTGACGACAGTTACAGCACCCTGCCGAAGCAGAAGCTGAACTGCAGCAATGACTACAGGAATTACAGTACTTTTATTTGCAAAAACCACAAAGTTACAAAGCCTTGTTTACATAATTAGTTCTTGACACAGTATAGCATCATACAGTGACTACCTTCCTATCTATGTGTTCTAGGAACAGAGAGTACAGAGTGCCAGGAAGGGGCCATGAGACCATATCTCAAGGCCTGGCCTGATGTCAGTACCTTCCTATCTATGTGTTTTAGGAACAGGCAGCACAGCGCACCCCATCTGGCCGAAGTGCCAGATATGCAGCCCAGTACATTGGGGTGCCTGGCCATCCTGGATGAGGGGCTGATGGCTATTTGCAGGCTTGCCATGGCCCCCAGCCACCCAAGCTCCCAGTGGAAGCTGGCTGGAAGCAGGTATCTGGGATTTATTTATCTTCTATAATTGAAACTTCTTGCCTTTTGCAGAGGCCACAGCCGGCCAGGGCGGCTGGGAAGCTTGCCTTCCTCCATTGCCGGGGCAACCAAGCCTCCTGCTTGCTCCAGCTCTGTGGCTTCCAGCCGCCATCTTGGTTGGGTTAATTTGCATATAGTTGCTCTGATTGGCTGGTGGGCGTGGCTTGGGCATAGGGAAGGTACAGTCAATTTGCATGTTTCTCTTTTATTAGATAAGATATCCATAGGGGATAACCTGAAAGAATATCCATCAAAATGTGAGCAGGGGTTATCTTGGGGTAGTAGGATTATGAAGATACGTATTTATTTATTTCTTTGAGTTATCTAACTTAGAAAAAAAGGATCATGGATTATTTACATCACTGCAAAGAACAGAAACAAAAACAAAGCCAACCCCAAAAGTGATGAGTCATTTCGTTGCCACTTTCTCCATTTGCACAACCCTCCTTTTCATAACACATCTTTCTGAGTTCTAGTGATCAGCCAAAAAGACGCCTCCTAACTCCTGATTTGTCCCTTAAATCCTCTCCATTTATCTCATCCAGCTTAGTTTTCCCCCCACACCTGCAACCACAAACCTGCCTGTGCTTATGTGAGATTTTCTGAAAAAATGTTTCTTCTTGCATAGTGTGGTCATTTGTCTGTTTCCATCTGTTTGCTTTGTAGGTGGGAACTTCCTCCTTGGTTTATCCTGCTGCCATGTTTGCCCCTCAGGTGTCTGCCAGGGGCGTGCCAGTGGCTGAATTTAACATGGAAATCACCCAAGCCACAAACAAATTCAGGTACAGGGATTACCAGGGTGGGAAATGGAAGGCATTGAGCAGGATTGGACATGGTCATCTAAAGACATTTTATCTACTGTTCTGTTATAATTTAAAAAAAAAAAAAGACACACTGAATTTGTGTTTTATTTGGTCTGTCGTTGCTTTTTTGGAAGAACAAAATATTGTTAACTGTAGACTAAGGTGGTTCTGTCTTTTTACAAGGGGTTTGCCATAGGACTTTAATTTTTTCACATTTTGAAAGCTTTCTTTGATTCCTTTGGCTTTGCTTTCATTTGTCTTTTTAAGTAGATTTAGTGATGGCAGGCATTTGGATGTAGGTAAGCTGAATGAATGCTGAGCAGTAAGCCTTGGAGATACCAGCCAGAACTTCTTCCCACTGTTCTCATGGTGAGGCTGCTACACACACGTCTCTGGTCTAATTGCCAAGAATATTTGTACTTGTGGCTTTGTTATGATACTGACTCTGTTTCCCACGTTTGTGTGGAAAGAGTAGATCATCATAGTATGCATTTTTAGCCCATTCATGTCTTCACCTTTTTTTCCTTTCTTGTTTTACCCCTGCTTTTTTGTCTTCACTTTTAATTTAGTTTATATTTTATTGTTAGTCTGCTTAATTCCTTTCTAGAATGAGATACAATAGAAATAACTAAGCATAAATAAATAAAATTCTAAAACACCACTGAAACTCTTGTCATTATTTCAGTCAGTGTTTTTCAAACTCGGCTACACATATTTAAAATACTGATGAGTTGGTACCACCCATGCCATTCTGATATAATATCTTTTCCAGATATTTTTAATCAGCCACAGTGTATCCTCAATCCATAAGTGGTGGGAACTAGAAAGATATCCTTTAAAAAAATCACTCTCTATGTAAAACATATACTCTGAAAACTACAGAATGCTATCAAAAGAAGTAAAGAAAACCTAAATATCTATAGAAGGACATCCATGTATACGGATTGGACAACTTAATATTATGAAGGTGGCAATACTCCCCAAATTGATTTGCAGATTCATCCATTCTCTATCAAAATTGCTACTGGCTTCTTTGCTGAACTGACAAGGTGATCCTAAAATTTATGTGAAAATGCAAGGGACCCAAAAAGCCAAAACAAAGAGAAGAATAAAGTTGGAGAACTTATACTTCCCAATTACAAAACTTACTACAAGGTTACAGTTTTCAAGATAGTGGGGTTCTGACATAAGGGTAGACATACAGATCAGTGGAATAGAATTGATAGTCCAGAAAAAAACCCTCACATTTATGGCCAACTGACTTTTGAAAAAGTATGAAGAGAAAGCAGTGATGGAAAGAATAGTCTTTTTAACAAATGGTGCTGGAGCAGCTGGATAGCCACATGCAAAAGACTGGAATTGGACCCCTTTACACTATACACAAAAAATAACTCACAGGGATCAGAGGCCTAAATATAAGAGCTACAAATATATAAAATTCTTAAAAGAAAATGAAGGAGTAAATCTTTGTGACCTTGAGTTTGTCAAAACCTTTTGTATGACATAAAAATCACAGGTAACATAAGAAAAAATGGATAAATTATCGCTTCTAGGCCTTTTGGCTGAGATCAAGTGTGGAAAAATGGATACATTGGACTTTATCAAAATTAAAAATTTCTTTACTTCAATGGACACCATCAATAAAGAGAAAAAGACAACCCACAGAATGGGAGAAAATATTTGCAAGACTAATATTTGATAAGGAATGTGTATCCAGAATATATAAAGAATTCTCACAACTCAATAATAAAAAGACAAATAATCCAATTAAAAACTGGGTCAAAGATTCAAATAGACAGTTTTCCAAATATATACATATGGTCAATAAAAACATTGAAAAGATGCTGAACATCATTAATCATTAGGGAAATGTAAATTAAAAGCCCAAGATACCACTTAACAACCTGTAGTATGGCTCTGCAAAAGTCCCTTCTTATCCACAGGGGATATATTCCACGACCCTCCAGTGGATACCTGAAATCACAGATTGCACTGAACTCTATATATACTGTGTTTTCCTATACATACATAGCTATGATAAAGTTGTCGAGTGAGACTCCCTCCACGTTCTGCGTGGAGTAGGGTTCGGTATCTGAAAGAGGAGCCGCACAACAAATGAGAGAAAAAGACACGAGATAATTTTGCAATATTGGGGGACCAGGCGGCAAGTCCCGAAGGACTTCCTCTGATGCTCAGGCCGCTCCAATCTTTTATTGATCTGGAGTAGCCCTTAGGGTAAGTAGGTTTCAATGACACACAGATCAGCAGACAATTTCGACTAATAGACAAAGTATCTGATTAGCTCATCAATAGATTTCCGGGAGTATCTGATTAACAATAATCAACAAGGATCTACATAAGTATCTAAGGAATTAAGGGAACTAAGGTGGGGATGCTTCAACTATTATTACCTAAATTAACTGAGTGGTTCCTAGATTAACTGGGTGGTGCACAGCCCTGACCTTTGCTAGGACTTTCAAGCCCTGACCTTTACTAGGACTTTCAAGGGCTACTAGCTTTTGGGGGGTCTCTGTCTAAACTCAGCTAGTGAAGACAATGAATGGACTCCGGCATAAAGTTTAATTTATAAATTAGGCACAGTAAGAGATTAACAGCATTAACTAATAAAATAGAATACTTACAACAATATATTGTAATAAATGTGATGTGAGTAAAAAAGTATGCAGTTACTCAAAGAAGGGAGTTGTTATGATTCTTTGCAGCTTGTCCTGGGAAAGTATGTTTCCTACTTGCCGGGAGCTGGTCCATCCTTGCTGTTTCAAGGGACCTGGCATATATGGCATACTGTTCTTAATATGTTTGCTCACCTTCTTGGCACTATGTGTTTTAACCAAGGTCACCTCTCTGAGAAAGGTTGTTTCCCCAGGTAGGGATTTTCCCCTGAAGTTAGGGAGGGAATAAAACCCCTTAACTAAGTGCCAGGCGGGTAATTAATCACTTTAACTACGAACAATCATGCTTAAGCTACATAATCTTTACTCCCTGGAATGGAGATAAGAAACGCCCTAACCTTTGTAATAGAGATTGATAGGATTGGAATCAACTGGTAGGACACAGAACCTAGACACAGAACCTACACAGAACCTAGAGACAGAAGAACTTTGCTGGAGAGAACATGGCAAAAGATCCTGGACAGAAACTGGCAACAGAACCTAGAGACAGAACCTAGACACAGAACCTAGAGAAGAACCTAGAGAAGAACCTAGAGACGGAACATGGCAAAAGATCCTGGACAGAAACTGGCCACAGAACCTAGAGACAGAACCTAGCGAGAGAACCTGGCTGAAGAACCTAGAGACAGAACCTGGCTACAGAACCTGGATAGAACATGGCAAGAGAACCTGACTAGAACCTGGTGACTGAACCTGGCTGGAGAACCTGGACAGAACCTGGCTGGAGAACCTGGACAGAACCTGGCTGGAGAACCTAGCGAGAGAACATGGCAAAAGATCCTGGACAGAAACTGGAGACAGAACCTAGAGACAGAACCTAGAGACAGAACCTAGCGAGAGAACCTGGCAAAAGATCCTGGACAGGACCTGGCTACAGAACTTGGTTGGAGAACCTAGACAGAACCTGGCTAAAGAACCCGGCTAAGAACCTGGCAACTGAACCTGGCTGGAGAACCTAGCGAGAGAACATGGCTACAGAACCTGGCTGGAGATCCTAGACAGAACTTGGCTGGAGACCCTGACAAGAGAACCCGGCTATGATGATCACCTGAACGCTGCCTCTGTGTCATTCCTTCTTCGCTGACTCTGTCCACACCTTTGGGGACCCCTGGACCTGCTGGGGTTGGACCCCAGCACCTACTCACTCTTCAGCTGGCTTTATCTGTGTCTCTTATTCCCATCTGAGGGATGGCAGGGCTGATTTTCACTGGCCAGGCTCAGTATTACCTTTTCAATGTCAATTGTAATTCTTAGTTTTTGGTTTTTATAGATGGATGTACTGGGAGAACTGGGCTACATAAACCACAAAATGAAAGGAATTTCAGATGGCATGGCCACTCAGATTTTGGACCTCCTTCCAAGTTACATGCTAAAATGCCATAGTAGTATCTTATTTCATTGTCTGTTAATTGACAATTCTATCAGACCCTCTTTCCATTTTATTGAAAGCAAGGATGAAAAGGCCCTATTTGAGTAAGGATGTGATATCCAGTCTTTTGTTTTCTTTAATCTACACCAATATTTCAAATGTCTCTTTAGTTAGCACCCGATAGGTTTTCACACTCTGGGCTAAGGCACCATCTAAGATTTGGGGTGAGTGAGGGGTGCAGCTTGCCTTTGTGAAGTGGGGGAAGGGGGAAGTGAAAAGGGGCACTTGAGAGTCACTTTCTTAAGAAGGAGACCATGTGGGATTGAGGATATGGAAATTCCCTGAAAGCTCTCCATGTCTTGGAGACTATAATTCAGTGGTTCTCAATCTTCCTAATGCCGCGACCCTTTAATACAGTTCCTCATGTTGTGGTGACCCCCAACCATAAAATTATTTTTGTTGCTACTTCATAACTGTAATTTTGCTACTGTTATGAATCGTAATGTAAATATCTGATATGCAGGATGTATTTTCATTGTTCACGACCCACAGGTTGAGAACCGCTGCATAATTCTTGGACAGTCCTCAAGGGACTATGACCACTGTGCTGGGGAGGAGCTTTCTAGCGGCCAGTGTTCAGCGCGCTGAGCGTGGCAGGAGTGGAAATGCCAATGGCCAGGGATGCCCATTAGTGGCACTTTGTGACGTGAACAGTGTTTAAGGGATAAGGCATTAACGATTTGTGTTGTATCACAATTGATAATATGATGAATTACATTAAGCAGATGCTTTCTTCATTTTTAATTGTGCTCAATGGGTTTTCTTATTAATAATATACTACAAAACCTTGCTATTTTTCTGCCCTAAGTATTTTCTCTTGGAGGAAGCAGAAATCATTGATTTTTCTTCCTCCTCTTTGCTTTTTCTTTTTTCTTTTCTTTTTTTCTCCTTTCTGACTACAAGTCAGAGCTCTTTGTGAAAGGTATGGTTTGAGAGGTTGTTGGCGCAGCTAAAATCCTGTGGTCTGTATGGTGCATGAAGTTATTTTTCTCTTGTCCTTAGTACATATGAATGCTGTTTTAATGTAGTATGTAGATATCATAAAACTTAAAACTTTCATTATGGCCCTGGCCCTGTAGCTCAGTTGGTTAAAAAGTCATCCCAGTTCACCAAGGTTTCGGGTTCAATCTTTGGTCAGGGCACATACAAGAAGCAACCAATGAATGAATGAATAAGTGGAACAACATATCAATGTTTCTCTACCCCCTCCCCTCCCTCTCTCTCTCTTTCTCTCAAATCAACTAAAAACAACCTTTTATGAGTTTGGCAATATAATCATGAAATACAATTTACAATCATATCTGCCCCTGCTCTTTAAAATAAAATTCTTATTAATACCACCTAAATTCTAGGCATTTCCTTTCCTAAATTTTCCTGATCACAAGGACCAACCACGGTGAAATGTCTATATCTTGAGTTGTCAGAAACTAGATGAAAGAAGTGGGCACAAAAGCTCATATTGCCACATTTGTGAGAATTTGGATTTTCCTCTGGGTAAAATTAAGAAATGTGTGACTTGCTGAAGTAGTATGTTGGTTTCTCTCCTAACTGCTGTATTTGTCCTTCTGTTTCAGGTTTCATTTCCAGGGGCTCTGTGGTAGGACCCTTCCTGAAGCCCTGGCTCCTCATGAAACAGAGACAGTTTCTTAATTGTCCTGGGAAGGAAGAGATTATAGTACATCTAAGTACCAGGCCACAAACAGAAGACACACAGTCTTGTGGATGGGAGCTGAATATTGGAAGATCTAAAAATAGTCTCTGATTTCCTGGCTGGGATCCAACCTGTTGATAAGTGGTAGGGGCCTTGGAGGTAACTAGCAAATATAGGTACAAGAAGTCAGAGAGCTGTAAAGTTAATGCATGTTATTTGGTTTGAACTTAAACATAACATACCTCTGATCCTCTGATGTGTTTGATTGATTATTGAGGGGGGAAATTCTAATTAGATTGTCTTAAAAATGTAACTATCCCAATCGTATTTTTGCTATTTATCAAAGATAGAAGTAGAAAGGTAAAACATTGCTATTTCTGATTTTTATACAAATTTTGATGGAAAATAAAATCACTCTCTACAGGAGGTAATATATGGTATACAGATGTGACCCTGAGAGATATCTTTATTGAGGATTTTTTCTTTTCCGTGTTTACCTTGTTTGGCTGCTTTACCTCAAAATATGCGGGATAGCTTAGAACAGGAACTCAAGAAGGAAAAGTAGCAACAAGGTAGAAAATCAGGATGAGGCCCCCACCCCAAAATGACACAAATATATAGATTCCAAAGGTATTCACAACTGACTAAAATGTAGTACTAGCCTTTTTAAAAAACATATGTTTTTATTGATTTCAGATAGAGGAAGGGCGAGGGAGAGAGAGAGAAATATCAATTGGCTGCCTCCTGCATGTCTCCTACTGGGGGACATGTACCCTTCTGGTGTATGAGATGATGCGCAACCAACTAAGCCACAGGCTGGGCAGTACTAGCCTTCTTAGCAGCCAAGGAGGAAAGGGAGAGGTGATGGTTGACTATTTCTTGATATTATAAACACAGAAGCATATAGGCACTTCAGGGTCTGCCAAGCTTTCCCAGACACTGAATTCTGAAGGGAGTGTTTTCCATAGGACTTGACCTCAGAGTAAAGTAGCAAGAACACAGTTCTCACCTCAAGCCCCACACCTAATATAGTACCTAGGGCCTGTGGAATGCCTGCTTGCTCTCAGGCAAGCATCAGAAGCCTGACTGGGAGCAGTGGCCTTTAGTAAACAGTGTAGGAAGGTCATACATAACAATGGCCCTTGGATCAGCTGGCCCCCTGGGTGATTACACAGTTTCATCACCTTAGCCCCTTACAAGAATTGATTTAATGTTACATCCTTGGCTTTTGTGGAAATAGATGACAAGACACCATCATACAAAACTTTCTACTGCATTTGCAAGTCATCTATATATATAATACCCTAATATGCAAATAGACGGAACGGCAGAACAACGGAACAACAGAACAACCGGTCACTATGAGGTGCACTGACCACGAGGGGGCGCACACAGAACCTGGCAGCCCTCTGCAGCAGGTGGCAGAGCATGGAACATGGTGGGCGTCGGCCACGGTGGGATGGTGGAGCAGGTGAGCGGGGTCGCCAGACCAAGGCAGGGTGCCAGTTGCTGTCATTGGGGTGAGCCTCTGATGGTTACTGAAAATTCTTTGCTCCTGTGCACTGCAGTCCCACCCCAGCACTCACACCTGCTGCCAGAGCCACCGCTCGCACCCGCTGCCTGCACCCGGCGCTGCCCCGATCGCTCATCCTGTCAGCGGGTGCGATCACCCCTCAGGGCCAGCCTTTAGGGTTCACTTCACACGAGTGGCTCAAGGCATATATATTGAAGGGACTTGTGATACTTACAATGTAGTTTTTGCACATAAAATACCATTGTTCTCTTTTAATAGGTTTGTTGTTGGGCTTCTCCGTTACTTTAAACATTTTCCTAGTGTTAGCAATGATGGAAATCAGTATGCTGTCTCAATCTGATTATATTTTTAATCTCTATCTGCCCAAGGCCCAAATATTTCAGTACAGTTCTTTGCAACTCCTCTCAAATTGGGCCTTTGGTACCAGCAGCTTTGTGTGTGTGTTTTATCATTTGTGTTCACGTTTTGGTTTTATTAGAGAAAATGAAAGGAGAATTGAAAAAAAAAGTGAGGTAGAAATTATTCAATTCAATTTAGTATTATTGAATGTCTTCCACATAATAGGCATTAGAAATATAATTAGTAAGACGTGGGCCTTGCCCTCAAGGACTTGACAGAATGTTGGGACAACTGTCGTGAAACTATTATACAATGTAGAAACTGCAGCAATAGAAATTTGTTCAAGATTCAGAGGAAAATGTAGTTAAAGATGGGCAGAGTGGGGATGGGTAGATGTTAAGGTCTTTGAAAGACCTTTAAAGGATGTCAGCCCTGGCCTGTGTTCAGGTATAAATAGTTCCACGTGGGGGAGTGTGTATCATAAAGGGAACAGCATGTACAAATGCACGGCAAGTGTGAAACCTTGGTTTGATGGGAGAATGATAGATGACTCACTTAGTATTGTATAATGGGTGGGAGAAGATAAACACAGTTCAGGAAAAGCCATGTATATTCCAAAAAATGGCATATACTTAGGACACAGAAATAGTACTAGGGTTGCATTCACTGAGTGCAGGGTGGCATTCTTTCACTGGATTCAGGATTTGGGATGGGCCCGCCATTGTTCAAGGTCCTGGGGTTGCACCAGGGAATCAGGTGGGCTCCCTACTCTCTCACAGAGCTTACATTTAAGTGGGGGCTGGGGGGCAGAGTCAGGTAACACACTGTTTGGGAAGTTGTCAGTGATGGACACAGAACAGAGCATGGACAGACTGGTGGAGGAGCTGGTGGTCGGGGTAGCCTGATAAACGGGGCCAAAGTCGCCCAGCACACATTTGGTGCCGGGAATTGATTTAATCCGTGTCTGTCAACTTCTCGGTGACAGCAGGTCCTGCAGCTATAGCGCATTCCTTCCCTTTGAGACGCCACTTCTCCGGGAGCTCGGAGTGATGGGAGTCAGATCTATAAACACTGTCAGCGGTTCTCAACCTGTGGGTTGCGACCCCTTTGGGGGGTCCAACGACCCTTTCACAGGGGTCGCCTAAGACCATCGGAAAACATATAATTACATATTGTTTTTGTGATTAATCACTATGCTTTAATTATGTTCAATTTGTAACAATGAAAATACATCCTGCATATCAGATATTTACACTACGATTCATAACAGTAGCAAAATTATAGTTATGAAGTAGCAACGAAAATAATTTTATGGTTGGGGGTCACCACAACATGAGGAACTGTATTAAAGGGTCGCGGCATTAGGAAGGTTGAGAACCACTGGATTAAGTGAATCCAGCTCCTGAGCACCTGATGGCGTGACCCGCGCCAGCCCGCCTTCAGGAGGCGGGGACTCAGCCAGACCTGCTGTCTGCACCCCAGCCAGGAAGGCAGCACGACGTCTGCCGGCCTGCAAACAGCCCCGCGCCCACAGGCTCCCACGGGTGCGCCGGCAGCAGCGAAGAGGGACTCCGGCAGCAGCGAAGAGGGACTCCGGCAGCCTCGAGCGGAAGGAAACGCCCCCAGCTTTCCTTAGGCCACGCCCTTCCCCGCCTGCGCATGCGCCTCCTCTCGCTGTGGGGCTTCAGAACGTGCCGGGAGCGACTAAACTGGTGTCGCTTGCTCTTCGCGTCACGCTCGGCTTTCGGGCTGCTACTTCCGGGTCAGAGGTCGGACGGTCCGGCGCGACGTGGGCCATGGTGCAGCTCAGGCCACGCGCGTCCCGCGCTCCGGCGTCGGCGTCGGCGATGGTGGACGAGGGCCAGCCCGCCTCGCAGGAGGCGGAGCACGGCCTGTTGCTCGGGCAGCCCAGCAGCGGCGCGGCCGCCGAACCCTTAGAGGAGGACGGGGACGGGGACGGGGACGAGTGGGACGACGAGGCCCCAGAGGAGCTGACTTTCGCCAGCGCCCAGGCGGAAGCGAGGGAAGAGGAGCGGCGAGTCCGGGAGACGGCGCGCAGGTCGGGAGCGCACGGCGGGGCCGGAGAACCGTCCCTCCCGTCCCACTGTCTGTCCGCGCACTGACTTGTCTCCCTTTCTCTCAGGGATAAAACACTCCTGAAGGAGAAGAGGAAGCGACGCGAGGAGCTGTTCATTGAACAAAAGGTTCGAGTTGCAGGGAGGCATCTCCTTTTTTAAAAGAACCGGCTTGGGGTGGAACTCCCGTGCTTGTTGCAAAGCTGGTAGGATACGGAGGTGGGGGGGAAGCCCTGTTTCTTCAGACATCGGTGAAAACGAAGATGCTCGTACTCTTTGCTGCCCACCGCTTAAAAATGGGAGCGGGGGGAGCTGTGAATTTGCAATCATACGGCCCTGCATTCAGCTCGCCGGCGGTAGTTTATCTGTGTCGCTGGGTTGCTGTTGGCCTTGGCTGAGGTGCTTTGGACCTCAGGGCGGTGCAGACGGTGACTGCGCAGCTGTCGGGTGTTTGGCAGATGGGCCGCGGAGAGCTGACTCCAGGGGGACGGGACCTAACTGCTCTCGGGTGCACAGTGGCTGGAGGGTCGGGCGCCCTGTCCAGTCTTCACCGGGTCTTCCCAACAGTGTCCAGCGGGCGCTGGGCTCCGTGACCGCAGCTTCCCCCCAGCTTAGAGGTAGTGGGGGCAGCGGGCAGCCGACACTCTTTATTTGCCTAGGATAGAAGGCAGTCCCCAAGCCTGTAACGTCACAAGCAACCCAGGTATGTTGTCATGTACCTCACGCAATCCTTTTAAACTGTCTTTATCTAAGAAAAGGAAACTCCTTCCAGACACTGTTCTAGAGAAGTTAACTGCAGCTTCACAGACAGAGTAAGTAATGGATCTTGTTATATTACTTGCTTACATACACCCATCTTTGAGATACATATGGAGCATTTATTTGAATCCACATAATTAAAGAAATAATCAAGCCTAAATTAGACAATAAGGCTTCAGTTACACACGTTTTTTAATTTGGTGGGAAAGATGGAAGTATTTTACCTCTTTGCAGTCTTTCCCCATTTCTTTTTGTTCATTCCCACTGCCAATGCTAGCTTCTGAGTTCCTGATCCCAGAGTATTTATTCAACAATTGTTGTGTATCTGTCATTGTACCAGGCAGGGTAAATGGTGAATAAAACAGGCGCCTTGAAATTTATCAGTCAGTGGAGTAGCAGACATCTACCTGCAGGCTCCTCCTAAAACTCAACTTGTCCCATACTTGCCTTACCTGCCACCAACCTGTCCTTCCTCCCCGTTCCCCATTTCATTCAGCAGCGTTGCCACCCACTCAGTGTTTGAAGCAAATGTCATAGTCATCCTCTTCCTCATCTATCCCATGAAGTCAATCAAACCTTACTCAGTTTAAACTTGTAAATATTTGTTTTTCTCTCCTCTCCCCTTAATGCTTAGACCTATATCTTTCACTTGGTTTTCAAATGTCCTGTAGAACTTTTCCAGTTATTCAGATCCTGAATACATTGAACATAAAAACAAATGTATTTGGTGGCAGATTCCCCTTTTATCCTTTAAAACCAAACTCGTGTCACCTCTCATTCTCTCACTCCACCCACCCCATTACTTCCTCCTTGTAGCTTTTCTACTGTGCATGGTATAGGCATCTCATACTGTTTTGTCATTTTTCAGACCAGATTCCTTGAGCCTAGTCCATCTCCCTGCTTGTCTCTTGTGCTTGAACTGTTGAATTATTCCTTTGTGACTTCTCCAAATAAAAATGAGGCCTACCACTTTCCACTTTGGTATTTCACCTTTCACTTTAACTCCATTAACCACAGCAATCTGCTTCTTTGAAGCCTGTTGATATGCTTTCAAATTTTAAATTCTGAGAAGATACTCCCATCCAGTATATACTAGTTTGTTGATTGGGAATTGGTGGCCATGAATTTGGGGGGTGACTTGCTTTCTAAAACTGATTAAAGATCCTGAGTCAAAACTGAGGGTGGTGGTAATGAAAGGGGGTATCTTACTTGTAAAATCAGATTTAACTGTAATGAGTTGAGTAATCTTGGCTGTCTGCCATTCCAATCAGTGTTTTTGTGTTCTCCCTTAGCATAAAGAAATCACCAGGAAAGTTAAAAGAAGGTATGAACTATTCTAAATTAAGTAACTTCTCATGTAAGTGTCAAAAGCATTTGTAGTCCAATGTTATTGGGAATAGGAATGGCTGGCCAAGTTTAGTTTGGGCCTATTGCCTTATTTCTTACAAGTTGGTGTGAGTAGATATTTAACAATGAACTCCAGGAAATGTTCTTGATTTATTTTTACGTAAGTGCTAACTAGAAATAAAACTTTATTTTTTAGATAATTTGCAGAAGAAAAATGAAGAATGTGAAAAAGGAAGTGAGTCCAAGAAAGTTAAAGAAAAAGTACAGTCTATTGGGTAAGAAGAGTCTTTTTTTCATGTAGGATATAAAGGTAACTTTTTGAGAAAAGTGTTGGCTTATGTGGGAAAACATTTTAATTAGTAGCAGTTTCAGATTGGATCCTCTGGAAAACCAGTTGTGATACTTATATAAAAACAAAATATTTGCTCTTACTAAAATGTGAATAAAAATAAAATATTTTGCTTACTAAAATGTATTAGCCCAATTCTTATAAAACAGCCCTGGAATTTATTTTTGATTTATTATCATATCTGCATTTTGTTTTCACCTTTTGAGACAACTAAGAAAAATACTTGAAGCATGTTATCAACCTCATTCATTCTGACTTTTTGTTTTGACTACCAGCCAGAATAAAAGCTACGTGGCTCGAAGGCTAAAGGATCAAGATCTGAGAGATTCAAGGCAACAAGCAGCCATAGCCTTCATACAGAATTCTTTGTATGGTCCAGGAACCAACAGGACTACTGGTAATTTCCTTATGGGCTGTTTGTCTCACTTTTTATTGCAGTAAACAAAGAAATGATAAATAATTCTCTTTTGTAGTAAATAAGTTCCTGTCGCTTAACAATAAGAGGTTACCAGTGAAAAAGGCTGCAGTCCAGTTTTTGAATAATGGTTGGGGTAAGGTCCAGCTTTATTTTTCTTGGTTATGATAGTTTTATATATTGAATAATATTCCTTTTAAGGAAATAGCAAATACTCAAGTATGAATTACCTTTTTTTCTTATAATGGCTTCTATATTAATATTTTTTAAGTTGCTTCTGGAAAATAGGTCACTATAAGTATGTATGTATATCTGACATAAAACCTAATTTAATAGACCTAATTTTAGTATTTATATTCATATAGAGCAGTGGTTCTCAACCTTCCTAATGCCGTGACCCTTTAATACAGTTCCTCATGTTGTGGTGACCCCCAATTTCATTGTTACAAATTGAACATAATTAAAGCATAGTGATTAATCACAAAAACAATATGTAATTATATATGTGTTTTCCCGTGGTCTTAGGCGACCCCTGTCAAAGGGTCGTTCGACCCCCAAAGGGGTCACGACCCACAGGTTGAGAACTGCTGATATAGAGGATCTTGAAAAGTTTTTAATTCTTTTTGGGGAATATTTTCTCTCTAATATTCTTACTGCACAAACGTTCTATTCTAGGAACCCAGAAAAAACAAAATGCCAAGAGGTTTAAAAGACGGTGGATGGTCAGAAAGATGAAAACTTCTAAGAAGTAAATCAAAGCTAAATGAAGAATGACAACTTTGTATGTACGGAACTTACAGTTATTTAGTTTAGAAGATTAATTTGTCTTTAAAAATCTAATAAATCATTTTAAAGGATTACAAGTCATAAATCTATTTGGGGAAGTACCCCAACACATTTCATCCTTCTGGAATACAATTGTGCCTTTAGTCTTTGAGGGTCCTGGAGGAAATAGCAATTTAAAAGGAACTGTCTTCCTTTCTTTTTATAAATATTTATCCATTTAATTGAATACAAACGATACTGCTAATGGCACCTCTTCTGCCCCTCTTCCCAGTCCACAGTGTGGGTGTGTTGTGGCAGGAATGGCAGGGAGGAAGAGAAATGGACATCCAGGAAGTCTTTCCAACTGCAGCTCACAGATGCCTTAGAGCAGGGGTGGGCAAACTTTTTGACTCGAGGGCCACAATGGGTTCTTAAACTGGACCGGAGGGCCGGAACAAAAGCATGGATGGAGTGTTTGTGTGAACTAATATAAATTCAAAGTAAACATCATTACATAAAAGGGTACGGTCTTTTTTTTTTTTTAGTTTTATTCATTTCAAACGGGCGGATTCGGCCCACTGGCTGTAGTTTGCCCACGGCTGCCTTAGAGTCTCAGATGTTTTGGTGCTACTGATGAGAATTTGCTTCACAAAATATAGAATGAGAAAGAAGTAGCTATGAAAATGCAATATCTAAGTGTAGATAAATACCTACTTTTCTTAAAGAAGATTCAAAGCTCAGTGTACAAAATAATAGCCAAAATGTATGGCCACCCTCTTGAACAGCTTGTTTAATTTTTACTTTTAACTGGTTTGGGGGTTTGCTTTACTGTCAGGTAACCTGTCTTTATTGTGATTATGAAAATAAGGACATTAATTTTCCCCTTTCTTTCTAGTGTCACCCACATTATCAGGTCTGACTCTAATACAGGGAGGCTAGTAAACTGAACAGTTTTAGGTTGCAGAATTCAGACTTACAGTAAAAATTATTCATTAAGCTCTAATTTTATATTAATCATAAGAAATAGGTAAGTACCTAATATATAAATTCAGTTGACACTAATATCTGTAGAAGTAAATTTTTAATGGCTGGTTAATTATATCACTACATTTTTATTGCAATATAGTACTCATTTAAGCACTTAAAAATGGAAGGTGTACAAAGATTAAATTAAGACACAGTAAATTGACTAAATATTTGGTTTTTATATAAATAAAGGTCATAACCACACCGTTGACATATAATACTGTTATAATACAAGTTAAACTTGTGAGTCTACAACAGAATTCGTTGGTAGTTAAACAGGAAACAAAGTTGAAAAGACCATGTTAAAACAAAACTACTGGGACTAACAGGTCGGGATTGTAAGTAGCAACAAACATATTCACTCAGCTCCTGAGTATTTCAAGTTTTACAGTACACATTAAAAATGATTTCTTCCATCAACACTATAAATTCAAACTGTCAGATGTTTATGCATTTTGCAAGTTACACTGATTGAATGCTTATATGGGAGTGGGGGTCGGAACATCTCCCAATTTGAAATTTACATCACCCACATGCTAACACAACACAACTTGTTCCATTTCCTTTCCCCCCCTCGCCCCCCAACAAAGAAGGCAGGATTTTTTGGTTTCTTTTAGGTAATTGTTTTAAAGGATTTGTGATGATAAATTTGAACGTCTGAGATTCAGTAATATTTAACTCTTAGACAACTAAGAGATTAAAGATGGAAAATAATTTCTCCTAACACTAAGTTAGAAAATCATTTGCATCATGCTGTAAACTAGGAAGCAATGTAAAGCGACAAAAACCTGTCCCCAGTACATAATTAAAAAAATCTAAATTTCAAATCAGCAGACCTGGTCTACTTCCATGTTGACTATATGCCACAATATAAGTGTGAGCTCCTTGAATGCATAGCTAATGTAGGTAGTCTTCCACTGTGGCAAATGCGCAGGATCCAATTCCTGACCGAGCCATCAGTCCTAAACATTGTGTGGCCTGTCCCATTGCTAGGGCAAGTGGAGGTTGCTTTGGCAGATTGTGGGTTTCTGAGGAAAAATGATTAAAAATGAAAACAGCAATTAGCAAGATATTTTAAAAAACTTTTTCAGGAAAGTATTGCATTATCTACAAAATTATCACTTTTAACTAGCAAAGATTGTTTCTAAGCAAATGATTAATTACCTTGGAAATACTACTCTGACAAGGTATTAGGTATTCAACTATAAGGAAAATTCTTGCAGAATTAGACTTAAAGCATTAGATACTCTAAATCTTTTAATTCCATATTAATTATGATGGGAAATATATATTTTGGCTGCTATTTTAATGGGGGGGCATAAGGAATATTTAGTATTTCTCTTCTATCTAAGTTAGAAAAAGGCACCAGGGTTTCAGTAAGTTTCATTGACGGATTCTTCTGGGGATAGGACACAACTGAGGCTGCCTAATTGTTCCCAAAGCATATTGGTAAATGTTATTTGGGTTGGTAAGGAGCAAGGGGTGATGGTCACCATGAGAGATGATAGAGCAAAATTACTTATAATTTTGGAGGGGTAATTTACAATTGATAGTTCAAACATTTTAACTACCAAAATATTCAGGGTCCTACATACCAGAAATTTGTCAGACAGTTATAGTACAAATAATAATCTTTGTTCTTTGCTAGAAATGAAAAAAAAAGTGAATGAATGATGAAAATGGCCAAACTTATAGGAGCTAGTACTTTCTCCTTGTGAATAGATGAATTTTAAATTTATATAGATTCCCAATTAATAAAATTAATGGTCCGTTAACAAAGGGCCAAAACAGTGATAAATGACTAGTAAGGCTCCATATGACTTAATTCAAAGGTTGTAATCTCAGAGAAAGAAAAGTTCTAGAACAGTGGTTCTCAACCTTCCTAATGCCGTGACCCTTTAATACAGTTCCTCATGTGGTGGTGACCCCCAACCATAAAATTATTTTTGTTGCTACTTCATAACTAATTTTGCTACTGTTATGAATCATAATGTAAATATCTGATATGCAGGATGTGTTTTCATTGTTACAAATTGAACATAAAGCATAGTGATTAATCACAAAAACAATATGTAATTATATATGTGTTTTCCGATGGTCTTAGGCGACCCCTGTGAAAGGGTCGTTCAACCCCCAAAGGGGTCGCGACCTACAGGTTGAGAACCACTGTTCTAGAAGGAGTGAAGCAAAAATAATGAAGCAAGTTCAGGATTTAAAGTACAAGAGGAAAGAAGATATGATTAAGAATAAGACTATGCAAAGAAAGATACACAGATTGGTGAGAAGGAGTAGTTTGAAAAGGTCTTTGGGTTAAGATTACTAAAATACTAGCTATCCTGTGGCAAGATGCTAGTTAGCTAAATTTTGATAGTGATAAACTTTTTTTTTTTTTTGCCAACTCTACACAGGGTTGACTTTATAATTTTAAATAATTCTGCCTTAATTTGAATTAATTCCTTTCAAAAATGTCTCCTGAATGTTTTCAGGGAAATAACCTTGTTGAAAGGTAAATATCTGGAGGTACTTTATTACAATTTTATTTGGCCAGGTGAGGCACCTGGTTATAAGCATTTAAAAATTTTTTTTGCCTGTCCACCGGTGTGGCTCATAGCTGATAATTTACCTATGAACCAGGAAGTCACGGTTTGATTCCTGGTCAGGGCACATGCCCAGGTTGCGGTCCCCAATGGGGGGTGTGCAAGAGGCAGCCAACAGATGATTCTCTCGTCACTGATGTTTCTATCTCTCTCTCCCTCTCCCCTTTCTCTTAAATCAACAAAAACATTAAAAAAAATTTTTTGGATATAAAATTTGCAAGAATTACATACAATTAATAAAACTTCAAGCACTATTTATAGATTACATAATTTAGAATTTATAGATATGCAGACACCCCCACTGCAGTTTAATAATCTTATTAATTTAAGGACTATATGTGGATGAACCTACATAATATATAGTACAATATATAATACATAATATATGGATAATGGTCCCAAGTAATGTACTATTTTAAAATTTAATCCCCTTGAAGAACACAAGATGTAGAAAACTGTTTTAGGAAAACTGGTTACTTTCAAATTTTTCCAGGTCTGAGTGGTACCTAAATGCAAAGCAATGATAGGGCTTTATGATTACTGATAATGTAACTTAAAAATATGTAAGTATAGCAAACCATAATTTGTCCTACAATCCCAGCACTGCTACTAAGCTTTTTTTTTCTTTACTAGCAGAGCTACATTAATTTCATAACCAAAGAAATTACAACACAATTAAACAATGAAAAGAAAACTCACATCATTCATTATATACAAGTTCTAAATTTAAGAAAAACTATAACACAAAGATATTACTCTTATTCCAAAACTTGTATGAGACCTTAACACGAGTTAAAAATGAGTTTTATAAGGAAAAAAATACAGAGTAAGGCTCAAATATGTTGCTTGCTTTATATTCTGGCCATATGAGGGCCCAGGCCCTCATTATAAGTCTCCATGTCTAAATACCCTTTACTCTGTGGAACTGTTCTATCTACCTAAAATAGTTTGAAACATGTTGCTAAAAGCCCCGAATACTAACAGGGCCAAATTTCACATAAAAGTTTTGTAAACTGGAGTCCCATTTTATCTGGGGAATTAGAAAAAGTCAGGTGAAAAAAATCACTCTTACCTGAATTACTGAAAAGAATTGCCCAGAAATTAAAACATAGCTTTACATAATTGACCCTATAGAGTTTAAATATAAATGCACAAAATCAGGGGTCCTCAAAGTTTTTAAACAGGGGGCCAGTTCACTGTCCCTCAGACCGTTGGAGGGTCGGACTATAGTTTAAAAAAAAAACTATGAACAAATTCCTATGCACACTGCACATCTTATTTTGAAGTAAAAACACAAAATGGGAACAAATACAATATCTGTATTTGCATATGGCCCGTGGGCCGTAGTTTGAGGACCCCTGCACAAAATATACAGTTACATAATTCATATAAAAAGAGTATGTGTTCAACATGTAAACAATATAATTATATTCTGTAGTGAGCTGCTCATAGGAATGGCAATCAACCAGG